GCCGAAGGCGTTAGCGGTGCCATCTTCGCTGCGCAACGACGACGCCGGCAGTGCGCCGACGTCTGGCGAGGTCCCGCCGTGGCTGGCGCAGCTGAACACCGTCCTCATGCAAAACCGCACAACCCCACCTGCGGGGGAGGATGGCGCCAGTCAGCCGACCCTCGCCGGGCACCGCACCTTCTCCCAAGCCAGCCCGACGGCGGAGGACGACTGGTTGAACCCGTGCAGCCGCCCAAAAGGGCAGCCGGCGAACCCACCCTTCAACGCCGCCGCGCTGATCTCCGCGGCAGGAGGCGGCATGCCACCCCCGGGCGTCACCATCACGCAGCACCGCCTGCACATGCGCGGTGTCACGGGCGGGAGTCCGACCTCGCCAACCAGCACCAGCACCGGCTTCTCTCCTGGGACATCAGACAGCCACAACAACAACAACAAATCCATGAGCTTCAGCGACAGCGCGACGACCACGGCGAGTAGTCGCACAGCGCCCTTAACGGGGAGCCGCTGGCGGGCCGAGGACGGCGCGCCCGTGCGTCGGCAGTACCCGTCGCGTCACTCCAGCGTCGCCGCCAGCATCGCCTCAGTCGACAACGTCGGGTTTATTCCGATCAGTCAGGAGCAGCGCGCGATGTCCCCGCAATCGCAGCGGTGGGAGTCGAGCGGAGGGCTTTCGATGTACAGCAGCGTAGGTGGGAGCACCACCCGAGAGCCGGGAAACAGCGCCGGCAACACTGCCACCGGGGCAGCACCGCAAAATCCTAGCGGGGCGCCGTTAGGCCTCAGCCGCCACCGCGAGTCCGGCGGCGTCACGAGCCGCAGCGGCAGTGGCGATATCATGGCCCCCGTGCGCCTCAGCCGAAACGGCGGTGGCGGCGGCGGTGGCGATGGTGTGGCAGCCGCCATCTTATCCACCGCTACGGGCGAGAGGGATAAAAAGCTGGAGAAGTCGGCTGCACCGCCGATGAGTCGCTTCTTTGCTCTCCAGCCGAACCGGTTCTCTGGCGGCGACTTATCTGGGCAGGCGACGTCGACGGCCGTCGCGCAGCGCTACGCCACGTCGATGGAGTCCGCCACCGGCTCCGCCTCGGTGCTTTCGATGAATGAGGGACCGTCAACGATCGGGTTGCCGCTGGCCCGGTTTATGCGCAACGCCTCGGTGGAGTCCGCGGTGAACGGCCTTGGATACCGCCACGCACAGCGACAACACCAGCAGCATCAAAGCAACGCCTACCCCATTCAATCGAATTCCCCGCCCACTATCCCGCAGCAGCAGCAGCAGCAGCAGGCGGCCCTCGCCCTCGCCTACCCGCCATCCCTGTCGTCGTCCCCGCTGAGCCGCAACGGCGGCCCGGCCGTTCTTTCCCTCCTCCCCGAAGGCCTCAACCCGGAGGCCCTACAGCGGCAGCAGCAGGACAACAGAAACAGCAACGACGGTGGTCGGCGACAGGCACCGACGTGGGGGCCGTCGACGCCCCATCAGCCCCTGCGCCAAGGGCAGGTGCAGGCCCTCGACGACAACGTCGACTTCACCGCCTCGCTGACGCTGACGCCGACAGATGCGATCTCGATGGTGTCCCGTGCGACGAGTGGCGTCTCCCTCGCCGCGGAAACCACCTTTGTCCAGTGCGACTAGACCTCATAAAACCAAAAAAAAAGAGGATTTCCGAAGAGAAGCGCACAATATGGAGGCGGAGCTTTCGCCGTTGCCGGCGGATCTCGGCCAAATACGTGTACCTCACTTTCCTGGTGCACCAGCCCGCGCCGCGCACTATTAATAATCAAAAAAAAAGTGCAGCGTGACGAGCGTTGTATCGGAGCAACGCCATCAAAAACCCTCAGATGAGTTTCGTGTTTGTTCTTGTTATTATTATCATCAAAGCGCAGTTTCTATACGATGAAGAAGGCAATAAAAGGCACAGGGTAATTTACGGAGAGGAGCAGTAAAGAAGGAAAGAAAAACTCAGCGCTGCTCATCTTCTTCTTCCTTTTTTCTTAAACAATTATGTTGTACTTCTTTAGAATCCTTTTTTGATGTTTTTTTTCTATTTTTCGCTTTTATTTTCCGTTGACGGCAGCACGAACGTACTTCGTTCTCTTTTCTTTTGCTGTTGTTGTTGTTGTTGTTGTTGTTTTGGGGGGCGAGGGAGTCGCCGTGGTGCCCGTACGCGGACAATTGGCGTCGAACGACCGTTTTCTTTGCCTGTCTCCTTTGCCGTGAAACCCATGTTTGCCCTCTTTTGTTTTGTAGCTGTTGTTGTTCAGTCCTGCTCGTTCGTACTCGTTACCAATCCCTCCCTCTCTCTCTCTCTCGTAGCTTCACTGGCAATGTGCAAAGCAATGCGGGCTTTTTCGTTTCTTCTTTCTTTGCTCTGTATGTCGTGTTGACTCACTGGCTGTTTTTGTTCTGCTTGTTTTTGTATGAATGTCTGTGTTTGTCTTGTTTGATTTGATGTTGACGATGAGGACGCGGACGCGTGCGTCGAATCTGGTGTTTCGTTCCCACCTTTGTTTCTGTTTTTGTTCCTTCTGAACATGTATTTTTAAAAAATAGTATGCGTTGAACGGCGACTTCTATTGTTATTATTATTACTATTATTATTATTATCGCCGTTCTATCAGTTCAACCCTTTTCCGGAGACAACAATAGGTTTAGAATGAAAGAGAGAGAGAGAAAGAAAAAAGGGACTTCTTCTTCTTGTTTTTTACTTCGGTGTGTTTGTGTTCACAGGTTGAGAAGACCCTGTTGAACAACCGCGGAGCCCGCGTGAAACAGCGCCTGCTTCCGGGAGGATATCTGACTCCCCAAACTTTCGTATGTTTTCTTTTTATATTGTTGTCTTTTTTCTTTTCCTCTTTGTAGAAGCACACATGCTGAGCTCTGTGATGGCGCAACAGATCCTTTCGGCTATTTGCATTGTTTCTTCTGAGTGGGAGTGTTTCTTGTTTCTCGTTTTTAACGTTTGAAAGTGGAGGACTTGGTGTTACTCCTGCGGCGACGCACAAAATTTTATTTATTTTCTCTGTTGTTGTTCTTCTCCTCTCGTGCCCGCTTTCTCGCGATAAAGCGCCTTCCGCTCCGTCCGTTTTCTTGTTCTATCCGCCCGTTGAGCTCTTGCGGAGAGCGGTGCTCTTCTCACGATGTGAAGAAATAAAAATGCGTCTCCTGCTTTTCCAAAGCCCTTATCGGTGCTTTGTGATTCACTTTTTTGTTTTCTGTTTGTGTTCTGCTGCAGCTCTTGGCGCCACGTCGCTGTTGTTGTCTCTCCCGCAGATGACGATGACGTGTCGCTCGTGCCCCTAGTACATTCGGCCTAGAGAGAACTCTTTCCCCTCGTTACAGTCAAAATCCTCCGCATATTTATCTTTTTTATTGTTATATATGTATTATTCTTTCTGTTTTGTTTTTGGTTTTGCGGCGTACGATGGGCGGTACCCCCTCCGGCGGTACTTACTCGCGCTCCGCTTCGCCTGCGTCGCCTCACTCCTCCTGCTCCTGGCCGTGTTTTTTTCTGTTTGTTGTTGCTGTTGCCGCCGTCTGCGCCGTCGCTCTCTGCGATTGTTGTTGCTTCGATAGTTTACCCCCATCCAAAACCTTTCTTCCTCCCTTTTAGGCATCAAGGTGGTTTTCTTATGTACGCTTTTGTTCACCTCATTACTGTTTCTTGATTGTTTTGTTTCTGAAGCTCTTTGTTGTCGCCGCTGACTTACGCTTTTATTGCCGCAGAGCAATGCGGTTTGTACTTCACTCCTCCCACACCTCGATGTGCCTTGGTATCTTCCGCACTCTTGAAAAAAGGAGAATAGGGGAGGATATCACACTCTCGTGTGTCGCTGTCATCGTTTTATTTCCATTTAGCAAAAATTATTTTTCTTCTTTTCGTTCCTATATATATATCTGTGTTCTCTGTCGGTCGTTCGAAGTTGCTTTCATCGGTGCCTTTTTTTTCTCCTTCTTCATGTCCCTCTAGTGTATTTTGGTTAGCTATTTATTCTGTTGTTGTTGATTCCAAGGCGGTATTTACGATCGAAAAAGAAAGCAAAAGAAAAAGAGATAATGGCGCCCGTGGGGAAGGAAACGGGTATCCTCGCCTACCCCTTCTGCTTCTCGCACTCGCTCATCAACTCTCCTTTTCAAGTTGGGAGATCAGCATATCTCGCCTTGTTGATCATCTCTCTCTCTCCCTCCTCTCAGAGCTTCGCTCGCGACGTCTAAGGTGAACGCGGCTGTCTTCGTCAGTCACAGCTGTGTAGGCTAACAATGGCGGTGTTTGGCACAGCCTGAAAACTCCAGTTCTGGAAATATGCACCTAACTCAGATGCCACCCTCTCCTTCCTTCCTTCTCTCTTCCACCCCTTATTCTATGATTTGCCTCCGTCCCGTTCTTTGTCTTCAACGCCTTCCCTGTGTGGCACGCATTCGCACGCGGTTCTTATCATCACCTCACACACACACACGCCCGCACGCCCACACTTCTTCTTCGACTTCCCTTGTGTGTGTGTTTGTACACCGCAATGGACATCTACGGCTCACGCGAAGCTCTTTCCCAAAGGGTGAATAAATAAATAAAAATCCGGACAGCGTCTGGTAACGCTTTTTCCTTCGGTCTTGTGGTGCAAAGCGTCAGGCTCCTCGTCCCCCTTGCCACCCTCCACCCACCTCCTCTGTCCTGATCCAACATATTTTTTAAGAACAGGGAAGTGTCTGTTCGGGACCTCTGCCTTTGCGCGGCTTTTTAATATTATTTTTGCGCTGTCCTTCTTTTGCGTTTCCTTTACATATAGATCTCGTGTCCCCTCCCTCGCTGTCTTGCACCACAACTATTCTGGATACGAAAAGAATACAGAAGAACGAAGCTGTAAAAGAAAAGGAAAAAGGTAGCCGCTTCTCTCTCTCTCTCTCTCCCCTCTCTCTCTCCATCCCTCTCTCGCACCTTGCTTTCACGTGCATCTCCTACAGCCAAACGCGCCACTTAGTGGCTGCAAATCGCACCCTCAGCCGTGAATCGAACCTTCTCCTTTTGTTTGTTCTCTGCGTGTTGTTTCTCTCGAACTCATTTGGAAACAGCCGTATTCTTCAAATCAAAACAAAAATACACTTCTATACAACCGTACTCTATTATTATTTTATTCTCTTTTTTTAAGTGCCTCGTGTAACGGAAAGTGTACACGACGTCGCGCGTGGACGCACTTCAGCGGTGACAATATCGCCTCGCCGCTTCTTCGGGAAAGGGGGAAGAGAAGAAGGAACTGAAAGAAAAAAGAAACTTTACGAAGGCAGAATCGTGTGCGCGCCTTTCGTGTGTGTGTTTTTGTTTGTTTGTTTGCTTCCTACTTGGTACCTTCAGAGCGCCTTTCTTCTATTACTTCTCTGTTATATACCGCTGCTAAATGACTACTGCCTTTTTCTCCTTCCTCTCCTTCGCTCTTTTCGCTCTTTAGTCGCCGTTTTTTATTATTATTATTACTTGAAGAAGGACCCGGGCGACGAACAACGGTGGGAAAGTCATCACCGTAGCACTTTCTCCTGCTATACACTCACAGTTTACGTACCTGTTTATTATTACTTCTTGCCTTTATATAAATATATACCTCTTCGACGCAACACGTACTCCTGAAAACTGTAACTGGAAGCACTACCGTGCGCTACAGCTATAAATAAAAAAGAAAACGAAATAAGAACGGCATTGGCGGTTTGCGGGTAACACGAATATAATTTTTAATTTATTTGTTTATTCGAGTGTGTGTGTGTGTCAGTCCTGTTTTCGCTGTGACGCTCTCTAAACGTCTAGATTAACCTCTTCCTCTTGTACGGATGCGACTCATATTTCGGGCGTAATTTGTATTCCTCGACTCGGTATATCGTCGCCCTTTCGCACGTGTGTGCGGGTGTGTTTGTATACCGTCGCCTCGTCCCCTCAACAGCTTGTTTTTTGTTGTTGTTGCTGCTTTATACACTGTTACCGTCCTGTAAGTATATGAGTTCGAAGGGGCACACACCAGCCAATCCGCTCTCGACTACCCTTTTCGTCTTCGCTGACGACACCGCCGACGACTGCGTCTCACCGGTCATTGCAAGCAACGTCAGATTCTTACGCGGCCGACGTCACCGCATCTCGGTTGCCGTCCGCGCAGGCCGCGATCTTCCCTCCGTTCAGTCGCTGTCCTCCTCCCGCACCGCCGACGCCTCACCAACGACCTCGACTCTCGTGCCGAAGCGGTGCTACGCTTCAGGCGATCTCCCCGCACAGTTCAGTGCCACATATTTGCTGCGGCAACACCGAGCACCGCGTCCTCCTATTTCGCTGCTCCCTGGTGCATCAACGGCTAGTATCCCCCTTGGCCGTGTTCTTGCGCTCGTCGACGGTAGCAGCGACGCTTCCCCAAACAGCAGCGGCGGCAGCAACGTCCGCCCTTCCTCTTCGCTCTTCATCCTTCCTCTTTCGGCACCCGTGCGGCGGAGCATGAACCGCCGTGGCTCATCGCCGTCGCCGTGTTCGTCCTCTGCGCCTCAGCTGCCGCAGATCCGCACCGACACGGATACCTCTTCCGTCAACAACGCCTCTGGAGATCTGCCCACGACGTCGCCCTCCCTCACCACCACACGCACGACGATCCCGTCTACCAAGCACACCGTGGTGCAGAGCGCAGCCTCGCCAGGTAGTAGTGTTCACCACCGACTTGCCGCTGATAGTGGTGCGGTAGCTTCGAATCAACAGCAGCAACAGCAGACGTCGAAAAAACTCCACTCCCCTCACGCGATGTCCTCCACCAACTTCGCCGTGTCAGCCACGAGTATAAGTTTCTCCTCGATGGACGACACGGCAAATCCGCGAAGACGCGACAACAACAAGAGCATCGGTGGTGGTGGTGGTCGAGGCAGTCTTCAGAGTCCGCTGCAGCGGCGGCACAGCGGCGACAACAGTGTGATGGACGCCGTCTCACGCAGCCTCAACGCTCACAACGACCCAGAGTTGGAGGGCTTACCGCCGATGGGTGACGAGTCGTCCGCGGATGGATCGACGCTGCTCTACGAGAAGGGCTTTCTGATCTCCGCCTCTGCCGGCGCAGACCGCGAGACGGGCGTGAGCAACACCCCCGCTCGCGAGTACCCGGATAGGCACCTACACGACGAGGGGCAACCACAATCACAGCAGCAGCAACAGCGCGAGAACAGCGTCAGCGGTGCCAGCCCTTCTCGCGGTCCGCCAACGAGCATGTCGGGCATTTCGCATCGCCTTCTCACCGCGGAGGAAATTGAAGAACGTCGACGAGTGACGTCGCGCACGGTAAGTCAGGCAGCCTCGCACGCCCTGCCCGGTGCGTCGGACACGAACAGAGACGCGCAAGCGAACAGCAGTCTCAGTCTCAGCGCAGGGGGCAAGCCGGCGCATCGGCAGCTGTCCAAGGAGGAGACGGAGAAGCTGATTGCGCAGCGGCAGCAGCAGTTCAAGGAGCAGGAAAAGCTGAAGCAGCAACAACGAGCCGCAGCAGCGGCGGCAGCCACCATGACCACCACTACACACTCCACTCCCCCCGCCGACGCCACCATCGCCGCGACGTCGGTGCACCGGCAGCCCAATGCACCCCCGCCGGTGGACCCCTCGAGCCGGCCCAGCCACACCCACACTGGCGTGCCGGGGCCTGCGCCGCTGAACTCCAACGCGGCGCCGTGGCTTATGTCGGGCGATGGCACCCAATCGGCCCTCCTGCACGGCGAGAGCGGCCCGCCCTCTGGGGCCGCCGGTGGCGGGGCGGTGACCTTTGAGTGGCTGCACGGCGCAAACACCGGCGGTGGAGGCGGCGTGGTGGGCACGAGTGAGCGTTCCTGGCCAGGAGCCAACCAGTGGCGGGACAACACCAGTGGCCCTGCCGCTGTGACGGTTGGTGCGATGAACGCAGCCTTCCCCGGAGCGGGGGACGGCGGCGGCCTCGCCATCCCTGCCGTTGGCGCAACGGGGCTCTACACCTGGCTGCCGAACACCTCCTACTGGCTCTCGTTAGAGCAGCAGCAGCAGCAGCAGCAACAACAACAGGAACAGCAGCATCCGCCGCCATCTATGCTGATGCCGGCGGTCACCGCCCTAACCGGTGCTCCTCCGCACGACGCCTTCTCCTTCATGTCCGGCGTTGCTCCTACGAGTGGCCTGCAGCTCACGGGGCCCCTTTCCGGACTCACTCTCAGCCTCTTGCAGACCCTCACCGTGGCGCAGCTCGAGACGGGCATCCGCCAGTGCGATGAGCACGTCCTGCGTGTGCAGCAGGATCGCGAGATTCTCTACCACGAGCTGCAGCGCCGGCAGTACACGATGGCCGGCAGCAACGTGAACCACATGCACAGTACGAGCACCAGCATCGTCGCCGGTGCTGGTGGTGCCGGTCCTGTCGGGGCAACCGCGGAGGCGCTGGGCTGGCCAGTTGCCATGGACCCCGCGACGGCGACAGCCAGCACCACGAACGTCGTGCACAGCGTCGCGGGTGGCAGCGGCCCCGCCAGCACCGGCTCGCCGTCGCGCTTCTTCACCGGCCCTGGCGTCGAGGGCCTGCCGCACATGTTGGACGTCCGCACCGCCGTTCCACACATCGCACCAGGGATGAACTTCTCGACGGTGGCGAGCGCGGGGACGTCGTCGATGGCGACGAACGCGACGACCAGCGAGCGGCGGCACAGCGAGAGTGACGGCCCGGCAGTGGCAGCGTCGACAGCAGCAGTCCCCACCGTGCCCTTGACTGCAAAGACGATCCGCACGACGGCCCCCACCGGCAGCGAAGGCTGGAGGCGCGCCAGAGAACACCTCAGCACGAACGGCAGCAACAACAACAACGATCGCCACCGTCAGCATTACAACAGCAACAATAACAACAGCAGTACGGGCAGCAGAGGTCAACGCCGCGGCCAGCGTCCCCGCGAACACAGTCGGGTGGCGGACACGGTGCAGCACGGTGGCCGTGGCGGCGCCCACAACGCCTCGCCTTCCTTCGGGGCCGCCACCTCGTCCGCCAGCGCCGGTGCGCCAGCCGCGTCGGGCAACCGCTGCAGTCACGACAACACCCCGCAGGAGCAGAAGTACCTGCAGACGGATCCCTTCAGCATGTACGAGCACAACAAAAAGATCGCGACCACCACGCCGTCGACGAAGCCGACGTCAGCGGCGGGCGGCGCTGGGGCTGGGGAGGCCGCTCAGTCATCGAAGCACGCCACGGTATAGCCCATCCACGTGAAGAATTATGGTGAGAATAACAGGGGAAGAAAAGAAAAGAGAATGCCTCGGATGGATGACGGGGAGGGGGTCTGTTTTTCCTTTTCTCGATGGCTGCGCTGAGGTGCCTCTCACAGACGTGGAGCCCACAACGCGGCGCACGGTCTTGCGTATTGCATACATACACGTACAACGAAACATGCTCCCTGCGTCGTTGCTACCTTCGTTGTCTTGGGAGGAGGGGGGTTCATTTCAGATATTTGCCCAAAGGTGTGTTTTGTAATGCTTTGGATTTCCCTTTTTTGTGGTTTGCATCAAAGCGCTGTTTTCATTAATACTTGATATATATATATATATATATATAACAGCTCAGTTATATCCCTTGAGCTTCTTCGCTTTCGTCGTTGTTGTTGTTCTCCTCCTTTTCTTCTCTCTTTTCATTATTTCTTTATTTCCAAAAACGGTTTTGGAGGTTTTTTGTAGAGAGAGCGAGGGGGAGGGCTTTCTTTTGTTCCTCCGCACCACCGCACCCCTGCCTCGCTCCCGCTGCTGTCTCTCTCTTCGATGTTTCTTCATCTCCAACGATTCTTTTCCTTTCTAATTCGTTTTTTGTGGTTTTTTCGTTTGAACCGCTTCCGTTTGGTTTGTCACCATCGACATCTTTTTTCATTATTATTATTATTGTTATTTTTTTTTTTTCGAAGGGCGTTTGTTGAAGTACTGAGGATGCTTATTCGTTCGGCTGTTTACGCACCAGCGCTCCTCTACAGCAACACGCGGCTTTGTTTGTTTGTTTGTTTGTTTGTGCTAGTTTGAATCGTGTTTGTTTCCATTCCGATCTATCGTGTGCCCCCCGGGTGTTGCTCTGCCCTTCTTCCTCGTTGCGTCCAATACGGTTTCCAATTTTGACACATATATACGTGTGTGCGTGTGTGCGTGTCGTTTCGCTACGCTCCTTTATCGACTCTCGAGGCTGCAGACGCACATACACGTCCAAGAGCAGTACTTCTTCGTATTTATCCATTCTAAATACATATGTATGTACGTTTTTCTCTTATTCGCGGTTTCGAACGCGCTACTAAATAATTTCATGTTTCAGTACTATTTTTATACACACTTCATGCATTCTCCTACGTTCTCTCGCTTCAAAAGAGTAGGTGCCGACGAATGGGGAGGAAGTGGCTCTACGCGACGTGCCCTGTTTTTCGCAAGTTTCGCGCCGACAAACTCGTCGTGTGGTGCTTCTCCTCTTCTTCCTTTCCGCACCTGTGTTGCGTCCGGACTCTGGTTCGTTGTGACTTCTAAAAACGAGGAAGAATCTTCTTGCTCTGTAATGTACTTTTTCTCTTGTCGATTTGGCTTATGCACTTTAAATATATATATATATATATATATATATATATATATATAATTATTGCAGCCTCTTCTTTTGACTCTCCGGCTTGCACGCGAGTGTTCGCTTCTGTGTTTTGTGAGGCACCTTTCAATCCCAAATAGAAAGACGGCTTCTTTTTTTTTTGTCGTTTTCTGCTAGGTTGCTTGCTTGTTTATTCGTTTGTTGTTGCTGTGTCGGCATTGTCCACCGCATCCTATATCCTTGCAAAAGCGCTGCCCCCGCTGTTTGCGCTGTCCGTTGCACGCGGCTCGAGCGTTGGGTTTTTGTTTTCCTTCTCTCTCTCTCTCCACACAGCGCACATAAGCCGTTGGGGAACAAAAATGGTTCTTTCGTAGAATTCAAAAACAGATTTTGAATTGGAGCACATCTCCTCGTTCTCCGTGTTGATCGTCTCTCCTCGGTCCGCCCGCTAGAGAACAGAGAAGGGGGGGAGGGGGGAGAAACGCGAAGTAATGGAAAGAATATACCACTTTCTCCTTCGCTGTCGCTGTTGTTGCCGTTGTTCTTCTGTTCCCCCCGCTGTTATGTAGCACTCTCATTTGAATGAGGTGTCCGGTTTTTTGTTGTTGTTTTGATTGTTTGTTTGTTTTCTTTGTTTTTATATATTTTCGTGTTTATTCCTTTCGCTATCTCGTTTCATTTCCTCCCATTGTTTCTTCTGTTTTGTTTTGTTTTACACTGGAATGATTGAACGCGAAGAAGTACGCTGATGCAAATACGCAAGTCGTTGAAGGTACGTGCCGCGACACCGTCTACAACGCTCGGGGTTCGAGTTGTGCAACGTACACAGACGCACATACACACACACACACACACACACCTACGATGCGTGCGTGGTCTGCTGGCACTGGGCGTGACGCTGACGTTTCCCGTCATCTGCCTTTAACGGTGTTGTTGTCGTCAGCCACGAACGGCGCTGTTCCGTAAAACACCCACACGCTACGTAAATGAAGTCTCATGTGTGTGTGTGAAGTCGCGGAAAATGATCTTGCCCGTTGCCTGCTTTGTGCCGCGGAGGCGGGGGGGGGAGGGGAGGGAATTCTGCTTCCCGAGATCAGCGTTGTCTTCAATTAATATATATGTATATGTATTATTTCATCGTCTTCTGCTCCGTCATTTTCTCTCCCGCTCTCTCCTCTCCTCCTTCTTTTCCGGTACTTCGCCTTCACAAACGTGTACGGAGGTACGTCGCTCTACCGCTTTGGTCCCACACATTTACTCTGCTTCACCCAACAACAAAACGCACGTCTAACCATTCAGCAAAATACAATTTAAGAAAGCTATTTTTCTTGTCGAAAACCGGTTACTATAACGATCTTCTGGCATTTACCCTCCTGCTGTGCCGATACCTCCCACAGCCAATTCGTTCCTCTGGTAACCACCGCCGAGGAAATCCATTCCATCGGCTACGGCACAGAAGCGGCCGCGTCTATCATTGTGTAGTCAGCCACAGTGAGGTGGAACAAACGTCGAAGAAAGCTCGGTCGAATAGGAAGAAGTTTTTTTGATTCACAAACTTGTTCTTTTCTGTTATTTGGGCACTGCGCCATCTCCGCTCTTTTCTTCTCTTCTCGCTCGGCCTGTTATCCCTTTTCTTTTTTCTGCGGGACCGCTGTGTTGGAGAGGGCTTAATCGCTTTTGCTGATCATTCTCGCACTTCCACACCCGCACATTATTCGCCATTTCTGGTTGGCGGGTGTGTGTGTCTGTGTCTGTGTCTGTGTCTGTGTCTCTCTGTCTGCTGGTGCTTTTGGTTTCCTTTTCCTTTTTGTTTTTGTTTTTCAGAACTATAACAACTGCTTCTCGGCCCTCTCACTCACTCATTCGCTCTCTATCTCTCTCTCACACTGACTTTTCTTTTTGTTTGTTTTGCTTAATTGTTTCTCGATTCTTATTTGGTTTGTTTCCGTCATCGCGACTCCACTCTGGTTTCTTTGTTTATACCTCACTGCAGCGTGAAAGGGGAATCGTTTTATTGTTGATGTGTTGTTTTTCTCTCCTCCATTCTTTCCTTCCTCCTTGAACCCCGGCGCTTTCTTTTCCCTCCTTCTCAGAAACCTCACGGTGACGCCGTCTTGCGCTTCGCTTTTCTCTCCGTTACGATCGCCGTCTTTCTCCCTGTTCGTGTCGCTGCTGTGGTCCGTTTCCGTGTTTGACCGTTTCTCTCTCTCCCACGCACGGCGTTGCTCGTCAACAAAGCAGATATATATATCGAGGGAGACACTTTTGTTTGGGTATTCTGTGTGTGTGTGTGTGTTTGATAGAGTAAGTGTGTGTGTGACAGATCTTCTATCGAGTTGTCTAATATTGCCCATATATATCTGTATATCTGTACATCTTTTTCAGAAAAGTTGTAAGGTCCTTGAGTGACGATCTGTGGTTTTTGTGTCTGAACATCCTTGTGTGTGTGTGCGTGTGTGCCTGTGCTTCCGTCGCACAGACAACCTTCTTTTTTTCTTCTTCTTCTGCACAGTTAAGATTTGCGGCTACGCGCAAGGGTTTTTATTTAAGTGTTTTATTCACTGTTATCATAACTGCTGTGAAATTGACCTCCGTCTGTCTTGTGTTGTTGTTGTTTATATGTTTTTACGCCATCGGATCTGTGCTGCTGCCTCCTCATTTGTGTTTCGGTGGATTTCTTTTCAGCTTTTTGCCTGCATTCGCCGTCGCTGTATCATCATTTGTTATTATTATTAGTATTACGCTGCCGTTCTTCTTGCTGTTGTGGTTGTTGTTGTTTTGTGGCTTCTGCGGCACGTATACCACCGGTGTCAGCCTCTACAGTTGCGATTAAAGTGCCGTCAAACTACCATCTTTTTTTTCTCTTTCCGCGTATTCGCTGGTCAGGTGTTTTCCTTCTCTTCAATTAAGCTGTTAAACCTGGTCTCTTCCTTTCTCGCTCTTTTCATTAATATATTTGTATATAAATTCTGATCCGCAATCAATCGCACCTGCCCGATTTCTCGTGCCGGGTGCTGCGCACAGATTCCCCCTTGTACCTTGTTTGTGTTTTGTTTCGTCTCTCTCGCTGCCTACAGCTGCGTACGTCCTGCATCGTTGGCCTCCGCAGTAGCCACAGTTGTGCGTGCGCGGTGTTGCTCCGTCCCCCGCCGACCTCCGACCTTCTGCACACTGCCACTTTCGGCTTCTCTGGCTCTTGTGTGTGAAGGCGTGGGGATTCGCAAAGGAGCTTGGAGCACGTTCAGCCGCCCCCCTCTTCCCTCCCTTCCTGTTTTGGCTGTTGTTGTCTTTATATCTATTTGCTGCCTTTTAACAGAGTGAGAAGCGAGGTGTAATAAGATATATATACCGCCTGCACGTCATGTCCGCCATTCCTCAATACCACGGCTGCTTCACGCTCCTCTACGGCGACCCCGAGGTGCGGGAGCAGCAGCAGTACCTGCAGCCTCTCTACGGTCTGACAGCGGAGGACGACCCACCCATCACACGACACCCACGTGTGTCGTCGCAGGACACGTCACTCAGCAGCGGCGGCAGCAGCCTCGTCTCAGCCGAGGACACCCACGACGAGGTGTTCCACCTGCAGCGCATTTGGATTCCCGGTGAGCCGGCGGTGCGTCGGCACAAACAACCCCGTATCGCGACTGTCTTGGCACGCGCCACGACGGGTGGGGCGACAGCAGCGACAGAGGTGGAAAACGAGGCCGCTGATGACGACGATGGCGCAGAGGCGAGAGATGGAGAGGGCCGCATCCAGGCACTGCCGCGCGGCAACAACGAAGAAGATGCAGAAGCAAACCCTGCTACTACTACAACAGCGGCCACTACCACCGCAGCCGCAGCGGCAGCAGCAAGAGCAGCCCCGCGTCCACCCCGCACCATCAACCGCGTGGAGCTGAGCCTCTACGCGGACCTCTGCACCGGGGTGGTGGGACCGCAGCCCGTCTTTGGCGGTGTTGCCCTGAAGGGGGACGGACGCGTCCCCTCCACCACCACCCTTTCGGATCCTTCTCCTCCCCCTTCTACGCCGGCGACGCAGCCGTACCTGTTTAACTCCACGGGAGCCCCGCTGCTGTCGAGCATCGTGGAGGCAGACGCACTACGGCGGCTGAAGGCGGCACGTACGCCCTACCCGGCCCCGCAGTCGCGCAGCGGACACGTTCTGCTGCCCTACCCACCCCGTGGTTCCTTAATCCTCTACGGCGGCCTCGGCGACGACCCCTTCAACGACGTCTGGGAATACAGTACCATCACGGGGCGGTGGACGAAGCTGGACTGCGTCCCCGCCGCGGACGACAATGCGGTGGCGGTGCCGCCGTCGCAGCAGGAGCGGCAGCAGCACCAACGAGAAGGCGAAGCAGCAGAGGAGGATTTGGGCAGCCGCGGTGCAGAGGCCGTCGGTCGCAACGACGATGACGAGGAGCAAATCCTGGAAGTTACGACGCGTGTTCCGCGACCTCCGCGATCGCGACGGCGGCACTCCGTCTCTGAGATGGAGAACTTCAGTGAAAATGATGACGACGAGGTCTTGGATCGCCCTCGACCGGACGAGACCGTTGCTGAGTTTATCGCCCGTGTCCAGGCCGAACGCCGCATCCACAACCCCTCTCCCTCCGCTTCCGAGTACGACGAGTATGATTACTATTACGGCGATGACGATGAAGAGGATGGTGGCAGCTCTCTGAGCGACAGCGACGATGACGCGGACATGGAGGACATGGATGAGCGCAACGAAGAGACGGCAACGGCCGCGTCGCGGGGGCGCAACGTCGGTCACAACCGAAACATGCCTCCGCCAGCCTACGGTCAGTCCGCCGCCCTCTACGTCGACGAGAACGGCGACACCTGCATGGCCGTCTTGGGCGGCATCACGGTGGGCGACGTCTGCGTGCACGGCTTCTTCTCGCTGAATTTGACGACGCTGACGTGGCGCCGGCTGGAGACGACGTCGCGGATGAAAGATGTATGGGGGGCGACGGCGCAGACACTCATCGCCCCCCGCCAGTATCCACGGCAGCCGCCCGCCAAGGCAAACAATCCGCACATCGATCCCAGCAAGAAGGAGGAGCAGGTCGTCGTGCTGTTTGGCGGTATGACTGCCATGGGGGAGGTCATCGACCCCACCACCCACGTCCTCCACCTCGACCACCCCCTCACGGCGGAAGAGGTCACCGCCAACCCGGCGCTGTTCCTCGACAGCATCGAGTACGACAAGACGGAAAGCGCGCGGGTGATGCACCACGTGCTGCGGGAGGAGGACGCAGCGGCGCAGGCGCGAGACGCCGCGCCCGCCGACGACAGCCAAACCGTCGGCCTCGAAGAACGGTGTGCCAGCTGGCGGTTGGCGCACGCCCGTCGGCTCGTGCGGTGGCGCGAGCGTGCGTTGCGGCGTATGGTGGGCAAGTACTGGACGGAGATGATCCCGGCTACCGGTGCCCTGCACGGCCGCCGTCGCCCCACCAGTGCCGCCTTCCAGCGCCATTACATGTACATCTTTGGCGGCCGCGATGACTTGTACTTCTACAACGATCTGTGGTGTCTGAATATTGTGACGCGTATCTGGGTGCAAGTGCGTGACGGCATCCCGACCCCCCTCCTCCGGCGCTTCCTCGACGAGCCCGAGAACCACCACATCGCGCTGCAGCTCAGCGAGCGCGGGGCGCAGCTGCGTCGCCGCACGGTGGCCGCGGTGGAGGCGAAGCTCGCGCAGCACCCCACGAACCCCACCATGAGCAACATGATCCGCGGCCGCGACGTCCACCACGCACTTTACTCCAGCTCGGTGAACAGCACGGCGCGGGCGCGGACGGGCGCCTGCATGGTGGTGGACGTGCAGCGGGAGTGCCTGTACGTCTACGGCGGCTTCTCCTACACGGGTCAGCAGCACCTCACCTTCTTTGATCTGCACGCGTACTACGTGAAGGAGAACGTGTGGCGACGGGTGGCGATCTGCCACGGCCGACCGTGGGCCGCCGCCTTGGACGCGGAGCAGGACGCGGTGAGTTTGGTGGACCCCTGCGAGGAGGCCCGACCCTACCCACGACACGCACGCCCGCCGGAAGGAGCTCAGAATGACCTCCGTCGAAGCGAGTCCTCTTCCGCTGCTCCGTCACCATCCGTGCTGCCGCTGACGCTGATGGGGTACGCCGCACGTCACCTCCGCTCGCAGACCCGGAAAGAGGCGAATGCGTCCCCTTCGTCGGTCTGCTCACCCGATCGCGCACCGCCGGCACCGCTGATGGTGCGTCGTGGGCAACGCTGGTCGTGCGGCGATGCGAACAGCGCCGAAGACGGCGGTGATGATGCGGAGGCGGCTGTTCTCGCCTCGCCGCAGCCGCAGCCGGTGACGTCCGCCGACTACTTCCACCTGCCCACCTTCATCCCGGAAGCACGCACGATGGCAGCCATGGCGGAGGATCCGCTGTACCCTGGAACCCGCTTCTTTCTGCACGGCGGCCGCTCCGGCGAGGAGGCCTGCGGCGACCTCTTCGAGCTGCGCACCGGCGTCAGTCGCACGGTAGACGTCGAGTACGCTAAAACGCAGCGTGCGACGCGGCTGGAGGCGCAGACGGCGGCGGCGACGAGCATGAACAGCTCGCCGACGTCTCCGCTGGGTCGATCCCAGGCAAACAACAGCACCTCCGCCTCCACGACCGCCCCACCGAATCCTCCAGCAAATCCAACGGCGGCTGCACCCGGTGGACCAACGTTCATCTCGGCGGCCTCTACCGCCGCTGCCGTCGCCACCGCCTCGGGCACGCAGGCGGACGTGAGCCGGCTGCAGCTCCGAAACCGCCGACAGCTGCAACGTCAGCTGATCAGCGCCGCGTTGGAGCTGCAGGAGGAGTTCGAAGACGCGCCCGCAGCGCACGCGGCGACGCTCGCGCAGGCTGCCCCGCTGCCCCGCCACTCTCTGCGGGATGCAGCGACGCGCTGGATCCGCGATGGCCTTGCGGTGGCGGACCCGAAGTCACTCATGTTTGTCGAACTGCGCAACGGTCACGCCGTGGTGAACCTGCGGACGCACATTCACTACTCGAGTCGGCTGAGCCTGCTGGCGAGCAGCGAGCAGCGGACGACGGAGGAGGCGGCGGCGGCGGGTCCTCCCGCAACAGGCACCACAACAGCAACGACAACGTCGTCGGCCGTTCTGGCCGCGCCTCGCAGTGGGTACGGCGGCGTGCGGCGCTCGAACTCCGGTCAGGACCTGTCCCAAGTGAATCCGCCCCCTGCGTTCTCCGTCTCCCCTTTCCCTTCCTCTGTCGTGTACCGCACTTCCCTGGAGCAGCAGATGGCCAGCCTCGAGGGCGCCCTCAAGCGCGCCGCCCTGTCGCTGGAGATTCTGCTCTACGACGTTCTGCTCTCCAAACCGATGTGCAACGGCAGCGGCAACAACAACAGCGCAGGCGAAGGGGTGTTGATGACAAGTCCATGCACGCACAGCGCCGTCTTGACCACCTCGCCGGAGAACAACGCCGCCTTTCCACCCTTTCCGCTGGGCGATGGCACGCCGGGTACGAGTCCAGGCAATCCCACGCTGCCGCCACCCACGTCTCCGCATGTGCAGATCGTGAGCCGTGCGCAGTACTCGACGCCACGCACGCAGCAACAGCAACTGCAGCAGCCAAATGCCTTTCCCCTCCCGCCGCTGGAGGTGAGTGAGGCGCGCACGTCGGAACACCCCGCCCCCTCGCCTGCGCTGACGCGTCGCGGCAGCAGTTTCCACGGCAGTGGCAACAGCAGCAGCAATGGTGCCAGCTTTCAGCAGCCGCCCACGAACAACGAGTACGACTACCACATCCTCCTGCGCAGTCTTTTCCACCACGAGCCGTACTACAAGGCTTTTGGGGCCAATGAAAAGAAACGCTAAGGCGGTGCATCAACGCTGCGTCTCCTTTCTCTCGTTTTCTCGATAACCTAACTGCATAAATCCTTTTTAAAAGGAATTCTATTTCCTTTGTTTACCGCTTCTCTCGCATCACCTTTTGTATGTGTGAGATTACTATTATTACTATTTCGGCGTTGCAGAGTGCTTGCCTCTGTCCGCAGACACTTGTATATATATATATGACTCTTTCTTGTGTTCTACTGCGTGTCTGGGGTGTGCTTGTGTGTGTGCTCTCCTTCGCTTTTCACTTTGGGGGCGCATTGCGTCCCCTTTTTCGTTCTCTTCTTTTTACCCGTTGAACTCGATTTTCTTTTCCCTCTCTCCCCTCCCCCTTCGGTTTGAGTCCTCCTTGTGTTCTGCTGTGTTGCCTGCCAGTGCTTTGTCTTCTTCTTTTCCTTTCCTTTCCTTTTTGTTTTTATGTAAGGTGTCAGCTCTGCGTGCACGGCGTGAATCTGAAAAGGAAAGGCAGAATAGCCGACACGCACGCAGGCGGCCCCGTTGTAGATGTTACAAGCGTGTCTCCGCGCCCTCATAGTTTCTTTTCGTGTGGGTGTTTGATTATCTGTTATGTGCACATCTGAGTTGTATTGTGACTGGCGGTGTTTCTTCTTTTTGCGGTCGCTCTCCAGACAGAGAGCGGGGTCGGCCTTCTCTAAGCTCGCGTGGAGAAGCTACATCTTTTTATATATATTATAACAACCAAGAGAAAGATGATAGCTAAATAGAGGGGAGCGTGTGGATCTGGCGAGTATACCAACGAAGTCGATGGACCTCAACGCGCTGAAGACAGCGAAAGCTGTCGTCGGGGGGCTAGGCACTCTATATCGTGCTTATTATTAGGATTCTCTGTTGTCGCCTTCGAGAGGGAAAAGGTTTATATATATATATGAATCTATTCCCCTCTGCCTTGTTGTTTTTTTAAGGCGTTGTATTGGCGCATTTAATACTCTTTCGTAGACGAGCCTGGTCGATATTTTTATGCTGTGCGGTTGTGGTGGTAGTGGGCGAGGTGATGACTGTTGTTCTCTTCTCTAACGTTCACTGTTACTGCTTTTCATTTTTTGCTATGTATTTAGTTATCGTGCTGACGGAATACCTATGCTTTTCTTCGCTCTACTATTATTCGTATTGCCTCTATCGTTGTCTCTTTCACGTATGGATGCGGTGGTAGGGTGTGTGACAAAGCATTTTTTTTATTTGCTGTTCAGCAGCTGCGACAATGTGAACTCGGTTCAGAGAAGTCAACGGAAGAATGGTACGATAATCTACTACGTGAATCATAGGGTTGTGTATGTGCGTATTGTGTGTGTGGGTCGTGGAGCGCTGCAGCGAAGGCGCACCGAGTCGGTGCATGCACACTCCGCTGCGTTGTGTGTTCGTCGTTGGTGTGATGAGAGAACACGCGAGGAGGAAAACCGAAACAGCCGTAGCATTTCTCACAAGCATGAGTAAAAAAAGGGGGGGTATTAACGCGGTCGTGAACGTTTGGTTTTGTGGAGCCATCCGCGCCAAATGAGAACGCGGCGGCGGCGGAGGCGGCGTCCTGCGCTCTGGATGGACCGCGTCGGCGTGCCATCGCCTCTTTCTTCCTTCTCCTCTCTCTTTCATCGGAGCCCACCTTCCTCTCTCCTGTCTCTATCTCCTATCTCTTTAATGTTTTTTGTTATCTATTCTTCCCTGCATCGTCCCCGGTATATTTTTGCTTACTCGCATGTATTTTCTACTTTCTCGTTGTCATCACAACAAACAACAACAAAACAAATGATAAAAACATATTCGCCATCACATTGACGTTGCTGCTGGGCAGCCCTCTTCGGTACGTCGTCCCGCCTCAGAAAGATTCAAGAAAACTCTCCATTGGTGCCAACGGCGATCTTTTCGCTCCTCGATAGACTTTTTCTCTCTTTTCTCTTTCCTCTTCTCTTCCTCTTCTTCTTTTTTGCAGCACCATTTCGGAGTACTTTGAAATCGACAGATTTCACCTCCCGCTCTCTCCTCTTCTTCCTTCCTTCCTCTCTCTGTGTGTGTCTGTGTGAGTGCTACACAGAATCATTCACATCACCTACCTCGTCCTTCGCTCTTCTTTTAACGCTCACCGTAGGGGGGAGGGGGAGTCGGTAAAACAGCTCGAGCAACGGACAGGTCGGGTTTTTGGACTGTGGATAGCGACAGAGTATTCTCTTCTTATTATTATCTTCTTTGTTGTCTTCGCTTTCGGTTGACTGGCCGAGCCAAACGGACCTGAAGTACCACGAAATTATTTACTTGTCTTAAAAGAAGGACGCGCACTTTCTTCGTTCTCCTCCGCTTTTCTTTATTTTTCTCTTTTTTTCGAAACGCCACCCCGCTTCTCACCCGCTTCGGGCATAAGGAGAGAGAAGCCGTCCGAGGGCGGTTGGCGTTTTTGTGCGAGAAGAAAAAAAGGGAGGGCGCAAACAATCATCTCTCGTCATCGACAGTCGTTTGCATCCTTTCTGAAAACCCGCGTGTACCTCAACACGCTCTGGACCTAAAGCAGAAGTTTTTGTGTCACATATATATATATATATACATACCCCCTTCCACAGGGGAAACCAGAAAAGAAATAACCATCGCGCATGTAGGTGTGTGTGTGTGTGTGATTTCTTCTTCCCTTCCTTGTCTCACCACTTTCAAAAGATATTGTTCTTGTCGGTGTTGCCGTTTTTCTTTTTTATATACCTTCTTCTGTTTGTTTTAGTTTTTACGATTCATTGTTTTTGTTGCTACATGTAATCTCGGGGTTTGACTTCACAGACTCCGATTCTCTCTTTCTTTCTTTCTTCTCAGATTTGTAGAGAGTGTTTTGCAGTTGCGGTTAGCAAGTCTATTGGAGAACGTAGTACACTTTTTTTTCTTGTTTGTGTGTTCTTCAATTCGTCAAGCTTCTGATTTTGCACTCTGGATCGCCAGAAGCGCCGTCTACTACGAACCTCGTTGTTTGATGTCATCCATCATCTTCGTTCTTTCTCGGGTTTGTGATTTCTGTGGGTGAGTGTATCACCCTCTCTCTCACCTACATCCTAAGTGAAGCAAACAGTAGTACAGCAGGCTCCTATTCTATTCTACTTTGAACTCCTTCCTTTTTTTGTTGTTTATTTCTCCGCCTATTGACTTGTTTTCCTCGTCCACGACGCCTCTTCTCTTTTTCTCTCCTTGAACTCGTTGTATCTCCGCTTTTAACGCTGCTTTTTGATTTGTAGCTTATTGTACCTTCTTTATCCGATTTTCGTTTTCGTTCTTGTAGTCTCCTACAATCTGATTATTTTGTTTTGTTTTCCTTCCTGCAGCGTTCATTTCCTCTCGCTTCTTCCCACCTTCCCTTTCCATTATCTTTTGTCTCTCGTCGTCGTTGTCTTCGTTTCTCCTGCTACGTTCCTCCCCCTTTTCATTATTCTTCTCTTTCTTCTTCTCTTCACCCCTCACTTCGCGCTATCGAGGTTTTAAGAAAAAGAAGAAATTTTGACGTGCTGGTTTTGCCGCTGTTAGGTCCGTACCTACTCTACACACACGCACGCACGCACGTGTGTGTCTTCTTTCTTTCTTTCTTCCTTTTCCCTCCGTCTCTTGTTGTCACCTCCCATTCTCCTTTGTTTTCTCGTTGTTGTTCGTCCACTCCGCCGTGATCATCGCTGCACGTAGCGCATTGCAGACGCGTATTCGCGCTGTGCCCTTGTGCTATTGTTGTTGGTGTTGTTGCCTTTCCTCTCGGCCACGAGGTGTCGGTGTTGCATTCACTGAGCACAGAAGTTTCATTTACCGTTTTTCATCGTTTGTTGTTTCTCGTTGCTCTTGTTGCTGCAGCGGATACGCGATGTCTTTCAGCGTCCCTTCGCAGGACGACGGGTCGGGCGAGGGGGGCACCCCGCACCTCTCCATCGGCGGACACGCGCCGCCGCTCTCCGCGTCCTTCAAGGCCTCCTCTTTAAACGGCAGCAGCGGCACGACACCTCGCCTGCTCTTCACCTGGGACCCGTACAGCAACCTGTCCCCCATGACCGCGTCTCCGTCGGCTCCAACCGCTGCCGGTGGCGGGCCTCTCCCGCCAAAGCCTTCCGAGGTGGAGGGGATCGACGAGGGCCGGCAGCCGTCCAGCGGAGAGGAGTGCTCCACGCCGTCCTCGGCCGCCAACAACAACGGCAACTACACCTGTCACCACAACAGTGATGCCGGTGCGACGGCCCACCCACCCCTGACCATTTCGGCCCTTTTAAGCGCGAGCAGCAACAACAACGCCGCTGCCGTTGGTGGTGCGACGGCGCGCTCGCCGCAGCTGGTGCCGGGCGCTGCGGTGCACACCCCACATCAGCAGCCGTCGACTGACACCGCCTCGGCTCATTCGACGCCCTCCGGTCCGGTGCGGAAGCGCATCTCGACCACCACCAAAGACGGGCGGCAGTACTTCCTGGACTACTCCCCCACCACCGCCGCCAGCGCCAACCCGACTGGCGGGGTGGGGGTGATGCCAAACCTGATGCTCCCGCCGAACCTCTCCCCGCAGTCCCGCGGTGTGTCGCCCTTCACCGCAGCGCCGTCGCAGCCACGCGCACCAACGCCGTCGTACCAGAGCTCAAATCTGCCATCACAGCAGCAGCAGCAGATAGAGCAGCAGGAGTTCGACAACTACGGAAGCAGCACAACAAGTCCGCAGGCGGTCCCGCTCGTCTCCCCCCCACGCAGCAGCAGCATCGGTGGGGTGGCCGGCCCCGGCAGCTACCCCTACAACGCCTCCTTCAACCACCCCGTCGCGAGCAACGGGGTCTACGACGCCGTCCCCCCGCCGCAACAACAGAAGCCGCCGTCCTCGGCGTTCCTTGGCAGCAGCATGAACAGCGGCGGACTCCTCTCCGTTTCTGTCGTCGGCACAGGCAGTGGCAGCGGGAGTCACTCGCAGCACAACCCCTACCGCACCTCCCCCACCTATTACCAGCCTCAGATGAGCACGTCTGTGTCCTCTGCTGCTGCGGCAACGGCGGCGGCCACTTCAGCTGGGTCTCTGCCGCAACACGGAATGGCCACGGCGGCGGTTCAGCGGGTGCAAACGGCCGACACCGACGCGGACCTCTACGAGGTACTCGGGGCCACGCCGTCGCTCTTCATCAAGCGCCTCCTGCCACCGCCGCCGCCGCTGCCGGACGTGGCGCGTGTGCTGCCCACGCCGGGTGTGGTGCAGACCTTGTGTGCGCGGTGGTGCTCCCTCGTTGAGGCCGTCCTGCGGTCGCGTGAGTTCAGCGATGTGACGACAGCGCCACCGCCGCCACCGGCGATGCCGTCTTTGCCTGGCGCCTCCCCGACGGAGACGACGGGCAGTGAAGAGGAGAGCCGCAGAAGGAACACGAACACCACCACCACGACGAACGCCGTCCAGGAAGAGCTTCGTGCCTGGTACAAAGCGGCGGTGGAGTGGTACGAGCAGCTCGACCAGGCAGGCGCGGCGACCGTTGACATTCGTGCCTCGTCCCGCGCCGTCACGTGGGCCATCGACGCGGCAGCGAGTGGACGCGGTCGTCGCGGAGGACAGGCCAGCAGCAACAACAATAACAGCCGCTACCATGGTCAGAACGCTGGTGGACGCGGTGGGGTTGGGGCTGGGGCTGGTGCGGGTGGGTCGTCGTCGGGCTATCGCGGTGGGGCGTACGGCGGTGGCTACCCCGGCAGCACACCTTACGGCGGACGCGGCGCGATGAATAACGGTGGCTACCGCGGGGGACGTGGCGCAACTCCCAGCTTCTACACCACGGGAGGCATGAACAGCAACAACAACAACAACAGCAACAACAACAGCAGTCGCAGTGCGTCGAATGACATGGAAGTGACGGCGAACAGCAGCGGAAACGCACGCAACCCGTACTACGCCTCCAACTTCAACCCCTATGCGGAGAGCTGGACCTTCAGCGGCGATACGCAGATGGTGAACGTGCCAGGGGAGGTCCTGCCACCGCCGCCGCCGCCACCACCGCTGCCCTCGACATCGTCGAAGCCTTCGTATTTGAGCAAGATGTCGACGGCGGACCAGCAGGGGTACTCCGCGAACCCAGCGATGGGGCCGATGTAGTACACAAACGCAGGCCCCACACCTCACCGTTGTGCGTTAGTATACTATTCTTTCTCTGCTTTTTTTACCTGCCCCTGTCAATGCGGCGGATCTGCGTGCGTGAGACTGTGGATTCACTCGCCGCAGTGCGCGTCGCTGGAAGTATTACCGCTGTTCACGAGGCGGCGATCGTTTTTTTAGTGGGCCTCGTGATTGAACTGCGAGGAAGAGAGAGAGAGGGGAGGGATGTGTAGGTGGGGGGGGGGGGAGGAGAGGGGCTCCCGCACTACGCACTCGGTCGCTCCTTTACTTCCCGTATCTCGCTACGTTGTTTGTTTGTTTTTAACCGGCTTCGTTCGCTCCTACGTGTGTTCTTCGTTTTTCTTTCTTTCCGCAGTGAACTCGTAAGGACTTTTCTTTTCTCTTTTTATCGCCGACTTTTAGTGTTGTTGTTGTTGGTCTCGCCCTCTCCCGCATTTCCTCCTGTACCGCCTGGCTGCACGGCCGTTTTCCATATCCATCTTTTCTCTCCCTTCCCGAGTCACGTTGCAGCCGCCTCATTTCGTATTCTGTTTTGTGTTTGTGTTTGTTTTTTGAAGTGCCTTGAACACGATTGTTATTTCCACGGTGTCGTTGATGGCGCTGTTCATCGTAATCACTTTTCTTCTTCTTCTTCTTTTTTCTTGCCGCTCTCCTCCAGCGTGAGCGTTGCTGGCCCTTTTTCGACGGTGGATCGCTGTGGCTCTTTCAATGCAAAACGAAGAGGAGAAGGGACAGCTGCGAGAACGCGACGGCCTTCTGCGATGTTTGTGTTTTCGCTTTCTTTGTCATGTTATCTTTCCCCTTCACATCTTCTCCAGCGGGAACGCACTGTTGATACTCGCGTATTTCTCTCTGTTGATGTCAACCTCGTTTTCTTTTACATATATATTTTTTTGTTTTCTGTGCTGCTGCTGTTGTTGTTGCCACAACGGCAGGCATGGATGCCTCCTCTCGGGGGGAGGCTGAGTGCTGCGTGACTTTCATATTCCCAAAATCGGTTCCGTTATCCTCTCTCTGTTGTTGTTTTTCTTTTTATTATTATTATTAAAGATCTTTTAGCGTCTGAATCTTCGAGTGCGCGCTGGCCTCTATACACGCTGCGCTTCTCCTCTCTCTCCTCCTTTTCTTTTCTGTCTTGTGTGTTTGCCTTCGCCTCGCCACTGAGAGCGCTTGTCATGTGATGGCTCTCGAACTCGACCGTGTACGCAGTTCGCTGGGGAAAAAAAATGTTAATCAAGAAGTAATTCTGTTTTCAATGCCTTTACATTGATCATCGCGAAGTGTTAAACTATATCGAAGTCACCCCACACACACGCATATACACACATTCTATGCGACGGAGATGTCTCTACCACGCAGCAGCCTTACTGCCGCTTTTGTTCCTTGTCATGATGACGGTTGTTATTTTATTCGTTGTCGGTCTTCACGCGGTTTTATTTGTATTACAAATTAATATATATATTTTGTGGAGAGGGAGGGAGAGAGATTTGTATCATCAAGTGTTTGGCCTGAACGACGGCCATATTTCGCTGTGCCATTTGTTTTCCTTTCTGTCTCTCTCTCTCTCTCCCCAACGAGGAATGGACTCTTCGTCATTCATCTCAGCTGCTCTTTTACGCCTCTGCTACTTTTCCATGTTTTGCCCTCTGACTTCAAATTTCCCTCTCCCTTTTTTTTCTCGGTGTGGCCTTCGTGTTTGTTTCTGTTTTTTTTCTTCTTTTGTTTCTCTCTCTCTCTCTCCTGTTCAGCGACGCACTGATCTGTTTATTTCTATTATTTCTATTACTGTTATTATTCCTATCTCGCGTGATATCGCTTCCTTTTCCTCGCCTTTTCATCTTTCCGAAATGCCGACGAGACGGCGCGCCTCTTTCTTGTCTTTATGATTGCGTGTGTGTTTTGTTTGTTTTTGTTTTTCGAAGCTTCGCTGTGCACTCTTTTCTATGTAATTCGGAATCGCAGAGTCCCTCCTCTTGATTTGTTTTCATTTTTGTTTTGAACTTCCCGAAAAGAAGTTTGAAAAACAAAAGGAGGACGAGGAAGAGACGGCTGAAACCCGTAGCTTTCTCCCCTTTTCTCTTTTTCTTTTTTTTTCTTAGAGGTACGTTATTGCTCAACTTTGCGTGAGTGTGCGTGGGTGTGTCGCCTTCTCCGCTACCCGTACCCCGATAGAGGGGAACGAAGGTGAGAAATAATAAAGAGAAGGTCGTCGTTGTTGTTGTTGTTTTGCACCTTGCTCACGAGCACAATTCTGCGATAGTGTGGCCCACTCCCTCTCTCCTGTTTTTTTTTTCTTGCATCTAAGGTTATGTAGGTTATGGCAAAAAAAAAAAGATAATATCAAAGGTAAATATTTTCTGTCTTCGGTACAGACAGACAGCTTTCATTTGTTTGTATCCCTCCTCCTCCTGCTGCTGCTGCTGCTGCCTCCGTTGCAGCGCCTCAGCAGCGTTTTCGACTCTTCAAACGTGGAAGCTCTACTATTCAAATGCGTGTTCGTCTCTCTTATTAATTTAATCTTGTTTTGTTTTTGTACTTTAGCGTGTGCGTGTGTGTGCGTGTGTTTTTCTTCGTCTTTTCCTCTTTCTTTCTTTCTTTCCCTTGCCGGTGTTCGTGCCGTTCGCTGCCGCGACGGACGCATGGAAAAGAGAAAAGGACGTTAAACGACGACGACTGTTGTTATTATTATTACGATAATATATATACATTTATATAGAAAGAAACCTGCGCTAAATCGACGGGGGGCCGGCGTCAAGAGGGTCCTGACGAGAGAAAAGGAAAAGAAAAACGATAGAGGTGTGTTGGCGGTGGTGTTGCAGCGCATCACCGACGAAAACTCGCAAAAGCGCTTTGAGGCACACACACACACATACACGTACACACTGAAGCACAGCTGTATTGGATGTGTTCGTAGCCTCCCTCCTTCTTCACCCTCTATCATCACTCGGGGCGGCCGTTAACGCCTTGTTTTTTCCCTTCTGTTTCCCGTTCTTCCTTTCCCCTGCCTTTGCCAGGCTGGAGAGGTGAGGCTGTTGCTCCTGGCGCACTGACCCCCAAACCTAGCTGACACCGATGTGGCATTATGTCTCTCTTCTCGCGATTCGCTTGCTGTCTCCTCTCTACCTCTATCTCCTGTTCTTCTGCATTGTCGCACGTCAAAAAGATTGTATTCGACTTTAGAATCAACTTTTAAAAAGAGAATCCACATCAGCTGCGTTCCCTTCTTTGCTTCCGCTGTGCGTCGTGTTCGTCCTGCTGGAGCGATTGAGAGGGCCCTGTGTCTGTTTTTGGTTTTGGTTTTGTTTTTCTTCTCCGGCGTCTTCGCATTTTCACTTTCACTTCTATCTTTTGCCGTAGGGCAGCGTCAGTGAAAAGAAAGAAGAGCGACTGAACTGGCGAAACTTTTCTGAAGTGGATGCTTAAACAAGAAAAGAGAGGCGTACATTATCTGCCGAGCATCACGACCAGGTCAGTGGGCTTTCGTGCCGTTTCAATAGAGTGAGAAAACCGATAGCTGTGTTGATAGCACTGCAACGGTGCTCAGAGCGACAGACTGCTTTGGTGGTGTATTGCGTTTAAAAATCTTCTCTCGAACTGTTGCGCCTCTCCGTCGTCGATTGGGGCGGCTCGTCAGAGAGCTCTTTTCTTTCTTCCTCTTCGCGTGTACAGGCTCTCTTTTGCACACGCTCTTCCCAGCACGTACACACCCTCCCGACCTTTTCCACTGGCTCACTTGGAGAACACTAAATCACCCTCCTTGTTTTTCTGCTTCCTCAGCTCTTTTCTTTGTTTTTCCATCCTTTCCTTTGCCGTTGATGTTCTGCTGAAGCTGCTTCCACCTGTTTATACCTTTTCAATCCTTTGTCGTCGTTTGCTTTTCCGGCTGGTTCTCGCCGTACCAATTTTAGCCGGTGTTGGTTTGTTGTTGTTGTTACTGCTGTGGTGTCGTTCTCAGCTTTCATCCTCCTTCTCTTCTTTCTTCTATTTTTTTTTCTCTTTTCTTTCACGTAGTCTCGTGCTGCCGCTGCTCCGTCGCTCTCCGCTGCAGAAAGCATCAAAAGCGTGGCGGATTTAAGAAGAAGAAAAAGTAACGCCGCATCAGAGTTGATTTGCGGTGGTGTTCTGAGTGCTGGTACGAACTCGTACGTTGAGTCGGTCCGCCAAGAAAAGTAAAGCACACACACACTATATATATATATATATATATATATACT